CCGGTTCGCCGCCAAGTCAGTGTGAAATTCTGCAGCCCTTATTAAAGCTCGCATACCACCCTCCCTGCGAGACTCGTCGTTCCCGGCGCGAGCACGAACAACAGCCGGATCATCGCGGCTTCCTCCTCGACGACGCTACCCCACGGAGTCGCCCGGCACACGTCAGATACACGTAGCCGCCCCTGCGAGCCTGCATCGTATCTGAAATGCAAACTACAAGTTTTTTGCGATGCGTTCCCCGAGACTCGAAATCGAATTTTTCCGCGCGTTATTCACGCGCCGTTGTTTCTCCCGCGCGCGATGTTTTAAACAGTATCCCCGCGTGTCGCCTGCGCTCATTCCAGTTTCGGCGAAAGCGAGTGTCTCGTGTTTTACATTCAGCCGAGCACCCCCTCGCCGGCGCGGCGCGACGCGGCGCGCGGAAATATATTTTTACTTCGTCGACTCTCGGCCGACGACGACGACGACGACGTTTCGGCGAACGTCGCCGCGATCAGCACACTCGCTGACTCATCTCGTCCCGCCGCACACATCCGCGGCATTCGCAAAACCGTGGAGCAGCCGAGCGATCTCTCGCCGGGGTCGAGAGAGAGAGAGAGAGAGAGAGAGAGAGGGAGAGAGGGAGAGAGAGAGAGAGAGAAAACGCGCGCGCGAGCTGTAACTAAATTTAAAATTTTTACTTACTTCCAGGCTACTGCACACCCCTCGAACCCCCGTCATTACCCGCTGCAATCAGCGAGCCCCCGCTCTATCCATCCCCCCGTGTCGCCAGGCTGTGTGTTTCCCTCCGCGATCTCCTGCCGCCGTCTTCCGTCGCGCCTCGCGCGACCGCCCGTAACCGGATTAACTGCAGCTATTTGATAAACGGCCGATACAACGGACAGCCACGGGGAAGCACGGGCGCGCATCCGAACACTTCGCACGGATTTTTCCGCCGCGCCGGGGCGAGCGCACCGTGAGAGCGAGCGAGAGCGTTGATTTCGCGAATCAGCGCGTGCTGAGGCGGCCGAGAGCGGGACTTTGGTAAACTCCAACTGTTGTTGTGGGAACGCGCGTGCCTCGGGAGCTAAGATGCCCCGCCGGACATCAAACTGAACATTCTTGCGGCGGTCTCTCGAAGATGCGCTCCGAGAAAGAGAGATAGATAGATAGATAGAGAGAGAGAGAGAGAGAGAGAGAGAGAGAGAAAGGGACGAGTTTCACGGCGGCGGGCGCGTTCGATTGTCGTCGCCGCGCGAAAAATCCGCGACGACCGACGCGCTGCGAACAACTCTCAAATCGACGAACGCTCGAGTGTCTTGCCCGTGATATGCTTCGGGGATGAAAAAAAGAAAGAGGCACAGGAGGAACGCATCGTGCACGCTCTACGACTAACAAGGAACATCCGCAAAGTGTGTATCTCCGATTCCGACGAAACTTGGCATATTTGTAGAGTAGCCAAACATAAGAGACCTGTATTTTTTTTATCGGCAATGGCTCAGGTTTAAGGGGCGAAGCTGCCGCTCAGATTTTCATCCCCTTTATGCTATCTCGGTAATTATTGCAGATAGGAAAAAACTTTTTCGACAAAAATTGTACAGTTTTTTATGCCGTACAATTTTTGTTCGAAACGTTTCCCCCCATCTGCAATAATTATCGAGATAGCATGAAGGGGATGAAACTCTGAGGGGCAGTTTCACCGCTTAAACCTGAGCCATTTCCGATAAAAAGAAATACGAGTCTCTTATTTTTGGCTACTCTGCAAATATGCCAGGTTTCGTCGAAATCGGCGACGCACACTTCGCGGGTGTTCCTTGCGAGTGGAATCGTCGCGGTGATTATGCCGGCCACGGCCGGGCGTAACGATTTTTCGCCGTGCCGGGAAATCGCACAAGCGCGCTTCGTCATGCTCGATCGACGACCGTCAGAGCGATTTCCTTCCGACGGGCGGACGGAGTATGCAGATCGACTTTTTATACCCGCGCGGTGGGCACCGGGATCGCCGGCGAGGATTCGGCACATAGAGGAGAAAGAGAATTATTCCGCGAGCGTTCTCGATTACCATACGCGTAACCGGAGATTTTTACCATTCATGCGCCGCCGTGTAACGAGCTTGCGAAATGCACTTTTGCACGGCGGCGGGGCGGGGGCGGGGGCGAGGGGGGCTGGGAGGACGAAGGGTGCGCGAATGTGCGCGCGCGTTCTTTCGTATTTGAAATATGAATATTACTTTCACGAGGAGGGCCGCGTCCCCCCCCCTCCTCCCCCCCGATGATGCGCCAACAATTCATACGGCAATTTGCGCTTCTCATTTGGTACGCATTTTAATCTAAAAGAGCATTTTGTAGAATTGTTTTATCATGACCGACGATCCTTTCCATCCCCCCGATTTGCGCGCGCGGTATCTCCCTCCGCCCCCGTCCTCTCCCTCCTGCCCCTCCCCTCCGCCGTCCTCCCGCCGATTACACTCACGCTGCGGTCCGCGCGACGGCGATTTTTTGCCCGCGACGGCGGCAATTTAGCAAGTGATATTGTTACCTTTCATTTGTACGAAAATCATTAATTTTTCCGCATTTTACGGCTTATTGATCCACAATTAAGCGAAAATATTTATCTGAATATGGAGATTGAAATGAAATGTGACGGAAAAAGTGGCCGGTATCGCGGGGTTTGCACATAATTTATTAATGCGTATTATATGGCCCGCGGATATCCAAAAGAACGGAATGCCCGCCTCGCATGTGTTTATATGTTTATGCGCGTGTGTGTTCTTTTTTCGCGTCGCTTCCGCGAACGAGTCGGTTATACGGGCAAAATCGAGTGAAAATACAATTGCTCGGAGCTACCTAACAGAGAAATGAGATTCGGCGCTGAGCGGCCCGTCGACAACGCCAAGAACAACGGCCGCTTCGGCCGTTGCGCGCAATTGCTTTCGTCGCGATAGCGACGTATCGAGATCGCGCACGCGCGCGAACTCGACAGCGGCGATTTTACTTTGTAAAAGTTCGCCGTAGTCGTCGTAAGAAGCGTTTTTACGGGACGCACGTCTCTGACGCGACTGCCGCTCGGAAAGTTCGCCGGAGGGAGAGGTGAAACCGGAAAAGGAGAGTCGAGGCACTCACGGGACTGAGGTAGGAGAGGACCGAGGAGAGCAATCGCCAGATACTCTTACTGTACCGTGGAAAAGTTGGTCCTTTTGTCTCGGCGAGGCAGACGAGTTCTTCTGCGATCGCAACTTTTCTACCGGCCAGCTCGACGAAATGAGATACCGAGCGAGCGTATTTTCCGGAAGCGCCGAGAAAGAAGGGGGGAAAGAGAGAGAGAGAGAGAGAGAATTGTTCATCCGCTGCCGCCGCAGTCGCTGCCGTTACGATAAGGCAGAGGATGTAATACGAAATCGTGGTAATAATCGCGAGGACGAGCTCGGTACGCTGCACGAAAGACTGCTCTTGTATTAGGAGAACGAGAAGAAATACAAGATGTCGGGAGGGAGGGGGGGATATTTCAAACCCATCGCGAGAGACAAGATAAACTCGAGAAAGTAAACGCTTGTATTCCCGCGTTACAAGCGCAAACTGTGTGGATTGTTGCGTTTGACAAATGTCTGTCTCGGAAAAAGTGGACAATGTTAATGTCAAGGTAAAGAATGCTGTTACATCTACAATACTAAAATCGCAGCATCGTAGAGGCACGCGCCGAGCTCTCTCATGATGTTTTCTCGCTCTGCGTTATTAATTTATGGGACGCGGCGAACGGCAACGTCTGTCGAGAGAGAGAGAGAGAGAGAGAGAGAGAGAGAGAGAGAGAGAGAGAGAGAGAGAGGGGGCGGGAAGAGAGAGCACGGCGAGAAGAATTTTCTCAGGAGTCTTATTTATTATCCCCGCGGATCTCCGGCGGCCCGGAGAGGAACAATCGCCGGCTAATTCCTCAGTCTTAATTACCGACGTAGGAACAATAAGATTTAGCGCGCTTTTGTCCCGAAGACGGAAAAATGAGGGATTGTCGCACGGGTCAGCGGCAATGCTCGGTGCATTTGCGGGCAAACGGACCGGGCATGGATGCATTCTCGTGAGCTTCCGTGGCCATTGTTTCGCGAGCAAAAAATCAGCGATCAAGATTGCGGGCATGAGGAATGCGCGTTTTTTTTCTCTCTTCATTGTCGCGCGGAAGCGCGCGAGAGAGTTCGCGTTCTGATTGAGAACGCTCTTCTGCGTTTCTTCCGTAAGACGCATCGCACTCGGATGTATATTGCTCTCCCTCCCTGCTCCCTCCGCTGCACTTGATACTCTCCCTCAGAGTGTCCATGCATAATACAAACGCATTTGCACCTCGATTATAAATTTGCAATATCCGATCGCAGGAAACATTGTATATAATTATATAAAATCACATATAATTTTATATCGAGTGAAAGAGAGAGAGAGAGAGAGAGAGAGAGAGAGAGAGAGAGAGAAAGAGCAAAAGTTTTGATAAATTTCGTGATAGAAGAAAATGTAAATATTTTTATAAAAATTTATCGGCGAAAGTTGTCGACAGATAATACAAAACAATGGGATGAGCACTTGATAGAATATAAAACATTTATAATAAAACCACTTGATCAATTCTTCTATCGCGAAATCCATCAAAACTTGCACTCACTCAACGTATAAATTATATATTATTACATATAATCCATATATATGAATGTTGTCTCTATATAATTATGTATACATGTATGACAATAAACGAAAAAAAGCGCTGTTGAATAAAGAAAAAAGGAATTGTTTCGTTCAATTACACATCTACATCACAGGCTGTCGTAAACAAAAGCAGTTACTTTAATTATTTTTGTACAACAACATTTTATCAATGTGGGCACATACATATATGCACATACATATGTACGTATGTTTATAAATGATCATATAAAAACAAAAATTATATATAGGGTGAGGAAAAAGGTCGAATCCCCTGAATAACTTTGAAAATATTTAAAATAGAAAAAAATATTAAATACAGAAGTAGTAGGGCCTCTTTTTTTAAGTGACGCATCGCATAGCAATACTAGTACTAGTACCAGTATAACCTAGAACAGTGTCAACAAGATGATAATTTTGAAATTTTCAAAAGATCATCAAGTTAACAAAACTTAGAAAATCAAGTTAACAAAAAGCACTATTGTAACGGCATATTCTTGAGACCAAAGAAAGTAATTAAATAAACAGGGCAAGTACCACTTTCTCTTCCGACAAATCGTTGCCGAGACGTCGCAAGCCAACTGTTGAAAACGTTATCAAGTTTTCTTTATGTATCTCAAAAAATATTAGGCAAATAAAAAATGTTTCAAACAAAAGTTGTTCAAATTATTCAGTAGAAAAAGATGTAATAAAAAATGGGGGTCTCCATTAAAAAAATTCAAAGTGACCCTCCCGCAATCTTAATAACGCTGTTCAAGTATGGTGACTTATTAACATTCTTTCTATCTTGCATATTTTCCAAGTTATTCAGGGGTTATTCAGGGGGGTTATTCAGGGGGTTTGGTCTTTTTCTCTCCTCCCCGTCCTATATAACAGTACATAATTATTTTTCATCAATTATGATATCCCAATCTGCACAATTCGTAGATATCTATGTAATTAAGAGAAAAAAGAGTAAAGAGACAACGTGTACCACTTGGTCGAACAGTCTCGTGTCATTTTCGGCGGGGAACAGACACACACCGGGGGAGAGATATTCTCGACGGCACGATCGAAACTTCCGGCTCGACTCATCAGCACGCGTCGCCCCGTATTACGGATAACTACTCTTTCCGCTCGTTGCGAATCCCTATTGTGAAAGGAGCCCTTCGCGTAAGCGATACAGTTTGGGAGCCCCCCAAACTGCGGACCCCCTCGTGGCCTCGTAGAAAGGACACCCCGCTTTTGCTCAATCTCGCTCCTCGCTCTCTGTCTCTCTTTGTCTTTCTCTCTCTCTCTCTCTCTCTCTCTCTCTCTCTCTCTCTCTCTCTCTCTCTCTGCTCTTTGATATCTTTTTCTCTTTTTCCTAGCGAGGATCTCATATTTTCAGTCACTCCAGATGCATCTGGACTTTAATGTCGCTTGGTACTCCCGGCGAGAATTTCTTGCTTCCGCCGACATATTTGCAGCTGCGAGAAGTGTGCGATGCCTTAGACATTCCGGATTGAAATCGCTGATGGTGGTAGTGGTGGTGGTTGTGGAACAACGATCTCCAGAGATATCATCTCCTCGCTACAACTGCATCTCCTGCCACAACTGCAGTTTAAAGTGCGCGGGAGGGATTCGTGCTTCCGACATTATCGAGCAATGTATTCCGCGATTCGGTAGCGGAGACGACAAAAGAGGAGGAAGAGGAGGAGGAGGAGGAGGAGGAGGAGGAGGAGGAGGAGGAGGAGGAGGAGGAGGAGGAGAAGAAGGAGAAAAAGAAGATGGAGACGAAGAAGAAGAAGACGGCGGGAAGCGGGGAAAGAGTAATGGATGAGGAGGACGAGAGAGACGTGGACAAGGGGGCAGATCCCCCCGATCCCGGTTCCGGATTAAACTTTAATTGATTCAAGTCCGTGGTCTGTAGCCAGCGAGGCGCGCAAAAGAGGAGAGGGAAGCGCTGTCGCTCCCTTAGCGGGGATCCTGGCGTAAGGTACGCGCCGCGGACCTCCTCTTCTTCCATTCAACGTCCTGCAGCAGGATGCGCCCATTATTCCCTTCCGCGGTAGGCCGATACGTTGGAACGTATCACGGCGTGGACGAGAAGAATATAATAATCCCGCAAGGGTGCCGAGAAGACGCGAGGGGGGTGAGGCGCGCGGCCATGTCGCGGCAATTGTCCGTCTTGAGCGAACAAGGGCCAGTTATTTTTATTGACGCGAATCCTCGCGGCCAAGGGGACGTCATTATAACAGCGGCGCTTGCAATGTTTTAATACCGACCTCCCATCCCAGACCGCACTGCGATTTGTATTTCAAGAATCAACTTTCCGAGCGCTCTTATTTTTTGGTCGAGCGCTATCACAATTGCACGAACGAGCGCGCGGAAAAACTCGTATAGGAAATATTTTTCGTTCGTGCGTCAACAAAGCTAACTGCGTGTTCAAGTTGGTTTGCTACGTTAATGCCGCGTTTTGCCATATTTATTCCATGTTGTATTTTCAGAAACGCGTAATTACTTCCGTAATACGTTTCTTTCGCCCTCCAAGGCAATTTAAATATGCGTGCGTGTGTGTATGTATGCGTATAATAAAAAATACGAGATCTGTTAAGCTTCCTTTGTTTCGCTCGCACGACATATTACGTCCTTTCGCTTTAATCACGTTTCAATATCCTCTCTCGCCTCCCATTTCTTTGTGATACATCTCCAAGGCGTTTAATATTGTCTCATCACAGGGAGATGGCTCGTAGAGCGATCTAATGATACAGGTGGACATCCCTTCTCAACTTCTACCCTCGCGTAGTGACTTGTATCTCTCCTGCAGAGTTCATCAGACTCCGCCTAGGAGATTCCCCACTCAAGAATCGTACCGTGAGCTTCTCGAGCTTCCCTCCTACGTGGGGACGGAGGGTCTGAAGAGCCAAGTAGACCACGGGAGAAAAAAACCGGGCGAGATAACGCCACGAAGGAGGAGAAGAAGAAGGGGAGGAGGAGGAAGAAGAAGAAGAAGAAGAAGAAGAAGAAGAAGAAGAAGAAGAAGAAGAAGAAGAAGACGAACGGGAGCGAGGGGTAAGAACGCGAAAGAGGGTCTCTTCCCTGCGCGCTCTTTTATTTGGGTATAATTGGAAGGACCGCGTGGAAAACAAAGGGCAGGGCCAGTTCTCTCTCCCTCCTTCCCTCGCTCTCTGCCCTTACCCCATGGCCGCCTTGCTCCAGGGGGTTGGAGGTCGGTGGCTGCAGCCACGGCAGTAACATCAGAGACGGTCGCGGGAATCGCATTATGCGCGGCCCGCGAAATAAGTGAGAAAGAGCGGTGGACCCGGTTAACTTGATTCCACCCTTGCTGCCTCCTGTCGACCTTCTGCTTTGCCGTGGTATGTGCCTCGTTCTTCTGTCATCCGCTTCTCATTCTCCCTCTTCCTCCCTCTCGGCGCGTTTTCCTACGTTTTCTCGTCGCCTTCGTTGCGCCTGCTTCGCGCGCGACGTCCCGAGAGAGAAAGAGAGAGAGAGAGAGAGAGAGAGAGAGGAGGGAAACGTCGGTGAAGGGTCGGCCGAGGCAACCCGACGCGCGGCTAGGCAACGTCGACGTTGATTGGATTTTATAGCTAACAAGAAAATTATATTCGAGATTGGGTAGGTAATCGTGCGAGGCGCATCTCGTGGGTCGCGCTAGTAAGCGCCTCCCGCCCACCCACCCCTCCCTCTCCCTCTGTCTCTCTCTCTCTCTCTCTCTCTCTCTCTCTTTTTTGTGGTCGCTTTAATGATCGGCTCGGAGGAGTGGTTTTGCCTTCGGCTGGGAAACGGTAAGAAAGGAAAGGCCGAATATGCCGGAAAATCTGGCTAATGCGCCGTAAACGTCGATACATCGATTTGACAAATTTTTTAATTTGGACAGTGCCTTCATCTCCCCCCCTACCCCCTTTCGGGAGCGATTTTTTACCGAGGCATTTTCACATAATTTCTCGCTCGACACATCGCGTACGTCTGAGAAAGCCGCTTTTCCGTTGGGGCTTTCCGGATGCACTCCCAACGACATGCGAGTTAATAATATATCTGCTCACCCCCGGTAACATTGCGGCGCAGCGCAACGTCAGACGAGAGGACCTCGCCGCCGAAAGGAGTCGTCGAACGGATGCGGGGGATGCAGCCGTCTCGATCGCGAAGGGAACGACTGTAAAGCCACGCGACCGGAGACGCCCGGCAGGCGCGTCGCGCTGCCGGAGACATTAGTTCTTCCGGCTTGCCAGGAATAACTAAGTTCTCGGTGCGCGCTCTCTCCTCCCAGTGGACCGTCTGTATAGCGGAGCAGCACCGGGTCACAGGCCATTAAGCCTCAGGTTCACCGCAATAAGGACCGCGTTCCGCTCTGTGCGACGGGTAACCGCTATTACCGAGCCAATGAGCCGCGCTCACCGACTCCGCCAGATTTTTCCCATTCCCGGATGCAGGAATTCGACGCGCTCTTTAGCGACACCTAATCGCCGGCGAGCGTCCCTCCTGACCGAGTCCCGAGCCAAGGAGGATCCAAGACTGGCGACCGTTCGTTGTATGCTTATGGAAAATAATTCTCGCCTGAATGTCCTTCTCGAGGTTCGCCGAGTTTGATCGTCCACGGCTTAAAACACTACCCGAGCAAAAAATTGTTAGAGCCATCCTCATAAGGCTCCGATAAGGCTGAAAATAGGGTGCCTTAAAAAGGGATGCCTCATTATTACTACATCAGGCCCCGAGGTGGATCCTTTAGGAATACCGTAGATTTTACGAAATAAGGCTTTTGATAGTAAAAGCTGAGAAGGGCCTCGGAAGGATTGTGTTTAGAGATGTCTTAGATTTGATAAATGAGGCTTTGATAAGGAAAGCGTGAGAAGAGCCTTGGAAGGATCTTTTAAGGATACCTTAGATCTAATAAATAAGGCTTTGATAGAGAGAAAACTGATAATGTCTTAGAAGGTCTTAGAAGGATTTTTTAGGGATGCCTTAGATTTTATGAAATAACGCTCTAACATGGAAAACTGATATGGGCCTTAGAAGGATCTTTTAAGAGAGGATGCTTCAGATGTACAAAATCAAGTTTTGTTATAGAAAATTAATAAAATTTGAAGCGAGTAATAAAACTTGTTATAGTTTAATATTGTTTTAGTAGGTACGCTCTCTATCTGGTTCTTTTAAAGATTTTTTAATTATACCGCAATTAAAAATAAATTTTATTAGTTTTATTAGTTGCCATATTCATTAGTCTCTTCCAAGGATTTTTCTAGTATTGCTTTCGTTTTGAAATGCAGCAAACTTTAATAAAAACAGTAGCAGGATTTTTGTGTGTAAAGAATGCTATATTTTATTATAAAGTATGCTATATTTTTTAAATAAAAATTCTTGTTGTATATACTAATAAGGTTATGAAGAAACAAAGAAATTACAGTCCAAG